TCTATTATTTCTTGTATGTGCTCATCTTGATACTTACTTTCTTTTTCTTTTATTTATTTTTGTTCATGTCGTTTTGCTTAATATGCATATTTAGTCTTTTTATTGGCTTATTACACAATGTCTTCTCTCTTTTTATCCAATTGATAAGTGAAGTATTAGGTATGGATTTCCATTTCTATTCTCCTATATATGTTTGACTTGAATTTCATGATGAATTGATTTTGGCTGTTCTTTCTTTTTACTTTCAAAAATGCTTCCTTTTTTAAAATTTGTACTATGTGAGGTTTTTAGAACCTTTGTAGATATCTAGATTCATTAGTAAACCGTGTGAAGCTATAGGAGTGTTCGCAGGAATACCTAGGGATGTGCATGGAACCCGCATGCCCAATAAGCCCGCTCGAGCCCACAAGAAAAGCGCAACCCAGCCTAGTAAAAAGTTGCCCAAGCAAAAATGGGCATCTTCAGGCCCGACTGATTCACAAGCAGGGTAGGGCCATGAGCAGGGTATGCTGCCCTGCCCATTTGGCCCTGCCCAAAAAATATATATAATTATATATATATAAGATAATATTATTTTAAGCAATTATCTCTTTTATTTTGGCCAAAAAAATTAGGTAAAATTAGGAAAAAAAAATGAAAGGAACATAAAATTATAATTATATAAAAGAGCTAAATATCAAAATATAAGATTCAATATGCTAAATTACTCCAAGTCAAATTTCCTTCTTTTTCTCTTACATCCAATTTTTTAAAACAAAAAAAGAAAAATAAAACCACCTTTCAAATTTTGTGCTTTCACATGATTATAAGAATCTGCCAACTATATGAATAAACTAAGGAATTGAACTACTGATTTAGATTAATTATTAAATGTTCTAATTATTAAATATATATATTTTTTACCTCCCATAAGAAATTGAAAGTTGAAGAACAAGACTACATAGGCATTATATATATATATATATATATGAGTGATAGACTCATTCGTGATAATTTTTTTCCTCTCACTTGTCTCAAAACACGATAATTGAATTTTTTTTTCTACATATGATATAGGGCATGGTGTCATTACGCTAGGCAGAAAAGCCCGCCCTTGCCCTGCCCAAAATGATTAGGGCTTCTACTGGGCAGGGCCGGGTAGCAGGTTGCATTTTCATCTTTCGGGCTGGGCATCGGGCAAGGGGTTTGCCCTGCCCAGCCTTGCCCATGTGCAGCCCTAACCAATATGATTGTGCAAGTTTTCTTTTTAAAACAGAGAGAGAGGAAATAATTTTGCCTCAATGAATAATAAAATAAAAAAGTCTTTTTTTAAATATATATATACATATATACATATAATTTCAAAATGTTTTTTTAGAGTCGTGTGAGGTTTTTAAAACCTCCGCAAGCTTAAACGATGATTATCCCATATATCTCCACAAGGAGGGTAATCCAAAATTTCTTTTAAAAAATATTTGCTAAATAAAAATATAAAAATTGTTTTCATATATTGAAAGATACTGACCCACAAAAAATATCTTTTTTAATTGGATAAATATTTTCTAAAAAATATCAACCAAGTGACCTGCATTTTTACTCCCAAACTACATGGCCTTTAATTCTTCTAAAGGGTACGCAAGCCCTAGGTCTTTATCCTAGGTCAAGTTCGGTTTTGTAAACAATTTATTTTTTTTCCTTTTTGCAAATGAATAGTTTCCTTTATTTTTATTTTATTTCTTTTTTTAGGTTAATTAAACTATAATAAAAGGCCATATTAATTTGAGTAGTTAACTTAGGGTAACTGTTCTCTTGAATGGGTGTTGTGGGATGCCTAACACCTTCCCCACACACAATTGACTCTTAAACCTTATCCAGTTTTCGTAGACCACATTTTTTAAGGTTTTCAAAATTAACCTTTTAAAATTTTGATGGTTCTTCTTTCTCTTTTATGGGAAGACTGGGATTTGGGTGCGATAACAATGGAGGATAACGATGACTTTGGCAAGAACATAATGGATGGCTCTGACTCTTATTTCTTCGACTCTAGCAAGGACACAACGTACGAATAAAACAATATCAGGGGATTTGCAACTTCACTTTGTCTTCACCACAATTAGATGCTTGATTTTTGGATGGCTTTTGTAGATATGAAAATAGGGGTGCCTCACAGTAGTTTCCATGGTGGTTTATGGTGGATTTGACGGAGGAGGTTGAGATCTTGCTTGTTCTTGAGTTTTTCTGCGATTTCTACTTGTTCTTGGCTGCTAGGGGAATTTATCCTTTTCCACATGGGTTTGTTGGTGCTCGATATGGGTTAGAATGATGAGGAATGGTGGATTGTTTGAGGAAAATTTGAGGTGCCATTGCACAAGAAGTCGTGAAGCTAGACGCATAAGGAGGACTTGCAAAAATCCCAACCTAGCTATGTTATATATATGAAAATCAGTTGTTGTGATGGCTATATTGTTTTTTTTTTTTTTTGGGTTAGCATCCGAAAGGAAGTTGTTATTTCCTATTGAGTAGCTGTTAATGGTAATATGTTAATGTGAATGTTGATGTGTAAATGTGCGTGCTTTCAAACTTGGTAAAATGAATAGAAGAGTTATTACTCGCTGATCAAGTATAGGAATTTAAAATATCCTAGAGAAATGAATTGATCCCATTTTGATAAGTATTTTGTTATGAAAAAGCTATTTAATTTGTTAATCTCTACTCCCCGCTTGTTAAAATAAATGGCGACCTCAACTCTAAGAATTTTGAATATCGAGTTTATCCCATTTTGACAAGTGTTTTGTTTTGAAAAAACGATTTATTAATCTCTACTTCACACTTGTTAAAATAAATATTGAAGTTATTATTATCAGCTCAAGTTTACACAATTTCAATACCGAGTTTATCCCATTTTGATAAGTGTTTTGTTATGAAAAAGCCACTTGTTAATGTCTACTCCACACTTATAGTTAATCTCTACTCCATGCTTGTTAGAATAAATAAGGAAGTGATTATTACCAGCTCAAGTTTAGGACTTTCAAAAACGCTGAAAAAATGAGTTGATCCCATTTTGACAAGCCTTTTGTTATGAAAAAGGTGCTTGTTAATCTCCACTACTCCGAAATTAGTAAAAGGAAAAATTAATTGCTTGATCCTTCAAATTTTAACTTAACTCAATATCTCAATTATAACTTGATGCGACTTAATTTCTGAACTTTTAACTTGCTTATAATTTAGTCTCTATTTTTTAATCACTTTTTATATTATTATCCTTATCATTTACAACTCATTTTGAGTCATCCTATGTGGCAATAATGAACAATAAAATTGCTTCTGAGTCAGCTTCACGTAATCAAAGATGGGAGGACTGAAGAACTCGGAAAAGAGGGGAAAAGGAAGAAGAGGCGATGAACTCAGTACATGTTTCGAAGAAGAATTTGAAACAAGAGGAAGATGAAACAAATGGAAAAGATTGCCGGAAGATGATGAGGGAAATCCATTATATGATAAGAATTGCAAGTTTTCATTTCACAAAGAACTTAAGTTATCATTCAGTCGCATGTGAGTTGCTGAATCAGCAGACAAAAATGGAAGGTGCCTTTTTTTATCATTGTGACGGCGTCAAACGAAGAAGGGAGGGCGGAATCGGCAGAATGCAGAAGTGTTGGAAGAGGGATCATAAGATTGATTGCATCTCTTGCAAAGCTTCCGAATGATATTGCTTTTCCACAGTCTTCCCTATCTTCCATCCTCTAAGTTCGGCGCTCATCACTCTCAGCGGCAGAAAAATAAATTCCAAGTACTTCAAATTCTTATTCAAAACTTGTACCGAGTTCATCGCCTCTTCTTCCTTTTTCCCTTCTTTGATTGATTAAGTGGAGCTGACTCTTAAGCAATTTTATTGTCCATTGTTGTCACATGGAATGACTCAAAAGTGAGTTATAAATGATAAGGATAATAATATAAAAATAAAAAAATATGAGGGACTGAATTATAAACGAGTCAAAAGTTAAAGAATTAATTGAATGATATTGAGTCATAATTGAAGGACTAAGTTATAAGTGAGTTAAAAATTAAAAGATAAAAAATATTAATTTTCCCATTAGTAAAATAAATGGTCAAGTTGATATTAGCCAAGGAACAAAAAACCGGATCGGGTACTAACCGGTCGAAACAGTGGGTCAAGAGTCAATGGGTCAGATCGGGGTTAGACCGGGTTAAACCTTTAATAATTAAAATAATTAAAAATGTTTATAGTTTAGTTATAAAAAATAATATATGTTGAATGACTAGTCATATTACAAAATAATTTTTTAGGATATTACAAAATATTAATGTATATAATTTTTTTTATTTCTTTTTTCTCCTTCCCCTCTTTTTCCGACCCAATACAATCTTCTTCTTTTTCTTATTATTTTAATTTATACTTTTATTTCTTCCTTTTCTCTCTCTCACATGAACACTTGACTTTTTTTTTTCCACAACAAATCACGAGGTCACTTTTTTATGCCTCTCTCCTCCTTAACGGAAGATTTAAATTTGCATCTTGAAAGTTGAAGCACTTATACTTCTCTTTCTCATTCGGTTTTGTTCCTCCGGTCGTCCCTCTTCGTTTCTTTCTTTCTCAAACAAAGATGGTAAACAGCAACCATTTTTCCCCCTCTGCACATCCATTCTACTTTATCTTCCTCCTTGTCTTCCACTCTTCATTTCTCTCTTCCACAAGCACGGGTTCGAAGCGGCACACAAGAGACTTTCAAATGGGTCTTTCTTTCTATGATTTTTCTGCTTTTACCATTTCTCTCAACAATATCCATGTCTACTCCGGTCAATAGTGAGACGGTAAGAGTAAAAAAGAAGTAAGGGGGGGAAAAAAAAGAAAATAGACAACCCACCAACCCAACGGTTTTTCCGGTTTTCACCGGTTTTTTCCAGTCCGTTCCGATTCATTCTGGTTTCATTTGAAGCCGGTTTTTTCTTCAAACTAGACCGAACTGGAGGCCAGTTCACCGGTTTTCCAATTGAACCAGTCGGTCCGGTCCGTTTTTTTTTCAATTGATATTAGCTACTCAAGTTTAGGAACCACACAATCCCAACACCATGCCTATTTATTTCCCTCCTCTCCTTTTATGTTACAAAAGGGCATTTGTGTCATTTTAATATAATTTCAAGTCATTTTTAAGATTCTTTTATGATTATTTTTCTTCTTTATGGTAAGTCACTAATGGTTTGTTTGGTATGGTGAGATCAAAGGAATAGGTAGTGAAGAAAAAATTTTAATAAGCTCAGTTTAAAAAATTGAAAAAGTAGAGCTATAAAATTTTGATAAAGACAAAATGTAAGATAAAAGAATAAGAAAAATTAATTAAAAATTTGTAACCCAACTTCTCTAATTTTTTTAGATCAAGCTCATAAAAATTTTTCTTCTCCTATCCTCTAATCCAATTCCCTCATACCAAATATAGGATAAGAGTGATATTAATTACATTTTTTCGTGATTATCCATAATTTAAAATTTAATGTAATTTTTTTTTTGGCTCTCAAAATGTAGTTTATAACTTTAAGGCTAAAGTATACATTTGGTCCTTTAACTTTATACAAGGTTTTAATTTGGTCCATTAATTTTAAAAAGTATACTTTTAGTCCTTTAATGCTAAATTTTTTTTAAAAAAATGATGACATTAAAATCTTAAATGTTGATAAAATATTCTCAAATGCTAACATATTAAGTTTAATTTTCAAAACATCCATGATTGTTACAAAAAATCATCATTAAAATCTAATGATTTTAAGGTTAAAGGATCAAATGTATGCTTTTTAAAGTTAAGGGATTAAATTAAAACATTGTACAAAGCTAAAGAACCAAATGTATACTTTAGCCTAACTTTAAATATAGATACATTTAAAAATTATTTCTAAATAATTTGATAATTTAACCATCTTTCCGAATAAGCCTCCAGTCAATCTGTACCTTTATTTTCTTGTCTAAAGGGATCAAGAAAACATTGCCACGTGAACCAGAATTCTTTAAGGACAAGCAAATCCTATGCCGCCACAACATTGGACCAACCACAACTTAGCGTTCTATTTCAATGGAAATTCGTTTGCCTGTAATTTCTGATATAAAGAATGCAAAAATATTCCGACACAAAGCAATAACTGGTCACAGCTACTTCCGTTTGTCTCATGCAAATAGTAGTCCTCCTATATTCTCCTTAAAGTCACTTTTTATGAATTATATTTTAAAGATTAAAAATTCTATCTAAATTTTAATATAATTTCTTTTATGGTTTTTAAGATATAACTCATGGTTTGAAAAGAAAGGTACATTTCAAAACTTCTTTTTTCAATTTTCAAACAAAATTTGATGATTTAACCACTTCTTAATTTGGATAGAGTGATTCGAGATGCTTCATAACAAGAAGCAATTAGAAAGAATATTATTTTAAAATTCATAGTATTTATTAGGGATAAACATGAATGAAAAGCAAAGCAATTTTAAACAAATTTATTGATGCAATTATTTTTTTTAATTAAGTCTTATGAATTGCTTATGATTTATATTAGAAATGGTAAAAGCTGACTCCTGTTTCAACCATATTATTTGTAGTTTTAAGAAACACCTATCAACATTAATAATGTTAAGTAATGCATCACATGGGATACCAAGCTTCACTTTCAACTTCGTTGGCTAGAGATTTGGCAGTTCGGCTCTTAGGTTCCGTTTTGTATGAATCTCTGAAAACAAGAGGTATGGATTGTGATTAAAAAAATCATTAAAGAAGTGTTTAGTATGAGCTATTACTTATTACTTGAGATTGGACAAACTCATATAAGTAGGATTCTCCAACAATCGTTCATCAAGGCCTCAAGACTGGGATTTGTTTTTTTTTTTTTACATCAATTGTGCTCATCATGTGCTGTGGTGAAGTTTGTACCATCTAGAATTTTATTTGAATGCTACAAATTTAAAATTTTTAATCCATAACTTGTGAGATATTTATTATATTATAATTATTTAAATATTAATTAGATTAATAAAATAAGTATCCTGAGTATTACCCGTAGTCATTTTGGATCCAGTCCAAGATAGGTATCAGACTTAGTTAATTAAAAGTTATTTTCTCTAATGATGAGTAACATATAACATACGTTAAACTAAGTCCAGAGTGAGTAACCTAATTCTAATCTCTCTGGTCAAAAAAAAAAAAAACCTAATTCTAATCTCTACTCTCTTTTTTGAAGGTTCCCCATTGGTGATGGCTACCTTCCAATTATCATCACTATGCCCAATCACCACTTGGAAGATTCCCTATACTGTTTTCTCTAACAGTATTCTTAGTTTTACAATTCTCTATTATTCATATCAAAGTCTTTGTCAAATTTACTGAGCTAATAATAATGTGTGTGTTGTTTTTCTTATGCATGGCATCAGAACCAGGTTCTTGACTGATGTCACCTTACTTAATTGTGATGCTCCTTTTGATTTGATTATTTTTCTATTTTTGAAAAATTATTTAGAAATTTTTTGGGAGCATTAGTTTTCTGTTTGATTAATAATCTGTTTTGATCTGATTATCTTTTGGCTGTTATTTTATAATTTACGGATTATTAGGACGGAGAAAATAATTTTTGATTTTCCCATGAACATCACATCTTCAAACTTTTGAAGGTTCGATCAAAATTCCTTTTACATTTAAGCTTGTATTGAGTTTCAATTATTATTGAATCTATGATGATTTTGAGCTTCTGAACGAGAAAGAAATAATCTTTCACATTATCTATGAAAGATGGCTGTTGCCTTACCATCGGTCCCATAGCTCAAATTAGAGATGCATTATGTTGTTCATGTTTCTGATTGTTTGACTTTTGGAATTGGGTTAATGGATAGAAAGAAGGCCGAAGCTGGCTTCCTCAACGAATTCCGTGGCCAACTCCATTGATTTTTTGCAGGACCCGAAACGTTGACATTGTTTTTCTTTAAAATTGAAATTTTTCAATTTGTTTTGGCTCAATTTTCTTCTTGGATTTGTTCAAAATTTTGTTTGTTCTTGTATTCTGGGCATAAACTATTAAAATCACCATCGGGAACGCTGCAAAACAGCATAAATATCACCGGGAATAATCTCTTGTTTGCCGAAAATCATGGCTACAAAATTTACAGCGGCAGCTATGCCGGTAGGTTGTTCACCGGGTCAAGAGTCAAGTTGACCTAACCCGATTCCATGTGGAAGATGATCCAGAGCAGAAAATGATGTCGTTTTGAGTCAGGCTGGAGCCTTTATTTTGCTTTGAAATGACGTTGTTTCCAGCCCAGTGAAACGCACAATTTCACTCAAGTGGAATTGGGCCAAACACCTTTTGGGCTTCAGTTTTTGCCTTATTTTTTTTATTTATTTATTTAAGTTTTATGAATTGGGTTGAGAGGTTTCTGGACTTCTGAAAAGTTTCAATTTTGTTTTTGTTTTATTTCTATCGAGTTGGGCTTTCGGTCTGAGACTTGTTTTGGGTTTTTGAAAAATTAAATTAATTCATTTTATTTAATTTATTATGATTGGGCTGTGTACTTTTTATTTTTGTTTTTTCATTTGAGTTTCCAGTTTGCGCCTTCTCTATTTGGGCCATGCATGTTCAACAAAAAGAAAGAAAAGTTGCACAGTGATGTTTTGGGCCTTGGTTTGGGTTTATTTTTGTATAGAAATTTATTTTTTGTCTCTATTTACTTTTTAGACATTTGTTATGGGCCTAAACATTTTGTTTTATTTTTAGAATGTTTATTTTGGACTCTATTTAGACTTTTTCAGTATGGGTTTTTAGTTTTATTTCTAGAAAATGTTTTTGGGCTGTTTAGTTGTTTTTCCAGAATTTATCTGTACTAAATAAATTTCTTTACGCAATTTTAATTTTGTTTGACAATTTTTTTATTTTTTTTTATAAACTTTAATTTTTTAAATTGAGAAAAACTAATTTCTTTAACATTTTGAGATTTGGAAAATGTTTACAAAATTTAGTTTTGGTTTGTTATTTAATTATCTATTTTGCATAAATGATTCTAGGCAATTAAAATAACTATTTAAATTTTGTAAAATCCTTTTGAGTTGAAATGTATTGAAATTGATTTATTAAAAAAAATTTTGGATGCATAAAATAGTGGAAGAGTTCACTTTTGTTGGTTAAATTAATTTGTTGAATTCTTCATTGGGCTGTGTATATTTGGAATCGAATGCACATTGGTGATATTTGTTGTTAGCACGCTTTTTTTCTAAGGAGTAGCCAAAACATCCTTAATTTTGTTACATGCACTTTTTAATCACATGTGGATTTGAAGTATCAACTGTAATTAAATATGTAATTATAATTTATCTCAGCCCAAACGTAAATATTTTATAATTGCATATTTAACTAGAGTGAGATAGAATGACTTTGTTATTTTAAGTATCCCAAAGGTAATAAGAAATATAAATGCATTTTAGTTTCATCAATTGAGATAAATACATGCTATGCTAATATCTTTGCCTAAAGATAGACATTAGTGATATGTATTTATAATTTGTATCCTTTATTCAATTGAACAGGCATATATGGCAGCTTGTTTGTCTTGATTTGCAATTTTGATTGCTACCCATGAAATTGTTCACGATGTAGGTAACCTAGGACTCTTGGATGGTTCTAACTATCCAAATTGGAAGAAAAATATCTTATTACAGCTCATAAGCATAGATCTTGATTATACCTTGAGGATTAATGAACCTTCAAAACCTAAAGATGATCCAAATGACCGAGAGGCTAAAGATATCTATGATCAGTGGTAGAACTCCAACAACTTGGCACTCTTACTAATTAAGACAAGGACCATTAAAAGCATTCAGGGAGTTATTCCTGAATATCACACTACAAATGAATATCTGCAAGAATTAGACAGACAATTCAACCCCTCAAATGAGAAGGAAGGGGAAATAGTCATGTCTAAATTATGCAACATGAAACTTGCAGGTATTGGTGAAATCAGGAAACATATTCTGAACATGAAAAACCTCACCTCCCAATTTGAGTCCTTTATTGAGCTATTCTTGGTACGATTGATTCTAAATTCACTTCCCTATTAGTATGAAGCTCTCAAAATCTCCTTTAACACACATATAGATAAATGGATAGTAGATGAACTTCTAGCCAAGTGTGTTCAAGAGGAGACTAGATTAATGATGAAGGGGAAGTTTCCTATACAACCAAATGAATATTATATGGCTGATTAGTTCTAAGGCTAATAGTGAAAGAGAAGAAAACAGAAATGATAAAATCTCTGCTTCCTTGGCTGTTAGAAAGAAGGACTCTAAGTGTTTCTTTTGTAAGAAAAAAGGGCACATAAAGAGGGAATGGCTCAAAAGGAAGACATAGTGGGAAAAGAAAGGTATGTTTACATCATGTGTTGCATTTGAATCTAATTTTTTTAGTGTTAATAATGACACTTGATGGAGTGACATTGGTTCAATGATTCACATTTTAACTACCATACAGAGCTTTCTAACAAACAAGCCTCCATATCCTAATGAGGAAAAAGTCTTTTCAGATAGTGGGAAAGGAAATCCTATAAAAGCAATTGGAATTTTTTGCATCATTTTTTCAAAGAATTATGTTTTGGATATTTTTGATGTATTTTATGTTCCCTCTTACAAGAAGAATTTGATTTCTATGTCAAAATTGATTTCGTTTGATTATCATTTGGTTTTCTCAAAAAAGTTTATGACTTTGACAAAAGACTCTATTCTGATTGCGAACTTAGTTATAATTGATGGTTTATTTAAACTTGTTTCTGATTTGCCTCAATTTTTTTTGGCCCTATTATGCATGGTACTAAAAGAAGTGTCATTGATGAGAACTCTTTTAGCTTGTAGCATAGGAGATTGGGACATACTTCTATTAAGAGAATCAAAAGGTTAAGTAAAGAAGAAATTCTTCCATCTTTAGACCATTCATAATTTAATTCTTGTGTCAATTGCATAAGAGGAAAACAGACCAATAAGTCACATAAAGGGGCTAAAAGGTGTTCTCAATTGCTGGAAATTATGCACATAGATATTTTGACAAACTCATTTATTTATACATATTTTCATATCTTTTTTATGGGTTTTTGTCACTTTAATTGGTCCCTTTTGAATTATTTGATCATTAATTGAATCAATATGCCTTGTTTTGATTTATTATTTTATAGGGACAAAATTGTCATATTTTAGTTTAATTGTGATTAATTGATTTTGAAGGACAATTAAAACTATATGATTTTCTCTATTTTTGGCATATTTGAAAATTACACTTTAGTTCCAATTTTAATGGCAATAAAGGACCAAGAGAAATGTAGAAAAGGACCGTATGGAAAATACAAAAGAGCAAATATTCATCATCTTCTTCACGCAGGCAAGATAGAGGAGTCAACAGCAAGTTGTACCCTTTCCTCCACTTCTTATTCTCTACTGAATCCTTCATCTCCTATCAATTTAAACCATCAATTCATCATTTTCTTTGTTTCTTCTTCCTGGTTGTAACAAGGAGTTCAATGCAACCTCTTTCCTCCACCTCTAACCTTGATTCTTGGCCCATTCCATAAAAACTACCAACCAAAACATTTAATCCGTCATTCCATCACTATTTCTTGCTCTCTCTTTGTGATTCGCTGCTATCTACCACCTCCCTCAATGTCTGCCGCTACCCGTCATTGTCTTCAATATTTCTTCATCATTGCCATCAGCTTTTTCAGTTTTCCTCTCTGTTTCTGTTACCTTCCCGATGTCTTCTCCATGGTTACTTGCGGTAGAGTTCTATTGGTGTCAATCTTGATGGCAATCCATGGCTGGTCTCCATAATCCTCTAATTTAGTAGCAGTGGTAGGAGCTTGGGTCTCTATAAGGGAGTTTCATGCTACTCTAATATTCTTCCCATTAGTTGTTTAACAATTCCTAGGTCTTAGGATAGTTTTGATTATTAAGAATTTTGTAATGTTTAATTTGATACTGTATAGAGATTATTGTGGCTAGATTATTGTTTAGCATTTGACATTAGGCTGTCTATGGCTTTAATTTCAATTACAATGTTGTGGTTATAACGTTTGTATTAACTTTAGAGTTAATATATTGTGATTTTTTAAGGTGGCTTGGAATTTTGGATCAAAAGGTCTTGCTACCTTTAATTTTGCTGTTTTTAATTATTGAATTGTAACTAAGCATTGGCTTTTAACATCATGAGTTCCATTTTACTATTTTGATTACAGTTAGTAAGTTGGGATTTTAGAAAACAGTTTGTGACAATTCGAGGTGGCTCAATTGTTGGATTAAAAGCTTAGTTATGATTCTTAATTCATTGCTTTTAACTCCGTTATCATTGTTGAAGTGGTGATTGCCTATGCTGTTGAATGTTCTTTATCATTGTTTTCTCGTCTGTCTTATTTCATTCCATTTATCATCATTCCTTTTATATTATTTTTGTATAAAAACACTAAAAATAAGTCTTTTAAATTCAATTTAATTCATGGCATTTACTTGGTAGTTCATCAAATCAAAATTGTTTTTATAGTTTAAGTTATTTTGCATACTTAGTTACTTAAGAATTTTTAAAGACTCCTTAAAGTGAATATGACCCGGATTGTGCACTATATTACATTAATTTGGTTTATTTTTGGAATAACCTCAAGGCGACAAATTAAGGGATTATTTCAAGTGTTTGTTGCCTTGATTTGACTACACATGGTCAAAAATATTTTATCACTTTTTTTATGATTACCCACGATACATGTTTGCCTATATGCTTTATAATAAAAGTGAGGTACTAGATGCCTTTAAGAAATATAAAGCAAAAGTAAAAAAACAGGTTGGGAAACCAATTAAGATTGTGAGATTAGATAGAGGTAGTAAGTACTATGGCAAATATACTAGTGAAGGCACCTGGTTCATTTGCTGATTTTCTTTCTGAGTGGGGTATAGTAGCCTAATATATCATGCTTGACTTAACTGATATGAATGGTGTAGCCAAAAGAAGAAATAGGACCTTGTTGGATATGGTTAAGAGCATGCCAAGTAACTCCAAACTTCTAACCTTCTTGTGGAAGGAAGCACTCAAAATAGCCACATACATATTAAACAGGATTCTAATAAAGGTTATGTCCAAGATACCTTTTGAAATCTGGATAGGTTGAAAATCCAGTTTAAATCGTCTTAAGGTATGGGGTTACCCTATAGAAGTAAGAGTTTGTAATCCACAAGAAAAGAAACTAGACCCTAAAACTATTAGAGCTTATTTTGTAGGCTATGTAAAATGATCAAAGGGTTATAAGTTTTATTATCCTCTACCTTTTAAAAGGTTTATAGAATCTAGGAATGCCCAATTTCTTGATAATGATGTGATTAGTGGAAGTAATTGTCCATAAGATAATCACATAGAGAAAACCACGAACACTAATGATGAGGGAATATCAATAGTTAATGACTCTCCTATTGTTAGGGTGGTTGATGAACATGATGTGAATTCCATGACTCAAGTTGACAATGCCAAACAACAAGAACATATACAACCTGACCAAACTGTCACACAAGTAGAACCACTACAAAATATGATGGAGGATGTTCCTAATTACAACCCGAACTAACTCAAGAATTTGAGTTAAGGAGGCTAACTAGGGAAAGAAGATCGACATTACTTAATGACTACATAGTATATTCTGTTGAAGTTGACTGTGATGTAAGTGTTAACAATGATCCAATGACATTTACTCAAACTATGAAGAGTGTAGACTCTAAATTATGGCATGATATAATGATTGATGAAATGAACTCTATAGTAAACAAACATATTTGGGAACTTATAGAGTTGCCTGCTAGGTCGAAGGCCATTGGCTATAATTAGGTTTTCAAAACCAAAAGAGACCCATAAGGCAACATTGATAAATACAAGGCAATATTGGTTGTTAAGGGTTTCATACAAGTAAAAAGAATCAACTATAGGGAAACCTTTTCACCAGTATCCAAGAAAAATTCACCCTGCATTATCATGACATTAGTTGCGTATTTTGATCTAGAATTATAACATCCCGAATTTTAGGTCTAGAAGTACCAGAATTAGCCTGAAATGGGTCGATTACCAGACCTCTTTTGGCAGGCATTCCAGAAGTTCCCTGGAAGGACAAGAAGATTCCTAGGAACAAAATCGTAAAGTAAGAGTTTTCTAAAATCATGAGATAGGCAAGTTAAAGACTCTGATAAGGTCTTGAGAGCTCAAGTGTGAGAATTGGAGATGATTAAGGGCCAAAAGTTATGCTAGAAACCTCAATGAGATGATTCTTGAGGCCCTAATCATAAATTCAGAAACTTTCAGGCCGAAAATGACAATGATGGAAGGTACACCAAAAAAATTCTTGAAAAATTCAAAAAAAAAAAGAGAAATAAGGTATTGAGGCCCTGTTATGACAAAAATTATACATAGAGCAAAATGGATGAAATTACCAAGGTTTTGGCTAATTGTGAATATTAGCCAAAATTGAATTATTCAAAGTATAGGGAGGTCTCAGATAATTAGAGAAAAATAGGGAATAATATTTGTGGAATTATCACATATTTTAAGAATGATTTTGTCCCCAGAGAGTAGAGAGGTTTGCTTTAACAGAATTTAAAGTCTATTTATACATTATCCGAGAAAAGTCAAAATAAAACGTATATGGGTTAATTTTTTACCTAAGAAAAATTAGAGAAATTTCCCGTGATGAAAAAGTGGTATTGCCACCTAAAGATAGATTTTCGAAGTCATGGACTGGTAGAAAGAATTCGGTTAAGTTACTTCGAAATAAATATTATTAAGTGTTTTAATGAAAGAACAAATGGAAGAGTATCATTCCCTCTTTATGCATATTATATAATATCATGTGAGGTTATTTGTGATTAAAAAAAAAAGAGCGCCATAATGTGTCCCAAGATTACCAGGTAAGTTAGGACTAAAAAAAGTACCTGATATGATATAAAATCATAAAATAGGTGGAGGAATAGCCAAGGGTATGAGGGAGTACGAATTTCTCCTTATTTTGCTCCCTATTTTAATGTAATTTGATGAAGGGACATGGATGGAATTGTACAAGTTGTTAAGGGATATGTTTGGAAGAAATGAAATTATTTAATAAAATATCTATTGTATGGCTTAATAAGCTTAAATAGCCTATCAATGGAGCTGATTATTTTTCTTTCTACTTCTCTAAGATGGCGCCACATGTGTGCTCTTTCTATTGGTTAGAAATTCCAAGAAAACATGTGGAAAAAGAAAAGAGACCGGTAGGAGACGAATAAGACTAGTGGATTGGAAGCTTATTAAAGCAACTCCCTGGTGAATAAGACTAGTGGATTGGAAGCTTATTGAAGTAGCTCCCTAGTCCTTCTTCCTCCTTAATATGGCACCATATATATGGCTTCTCATTAGTGGAAAAGTTGCAAGAACATACTTGGGAAGTTGATCATAACACATGGCAAAATCATGAGCTAGGTGGCTTAATCATAAAACACATGGCAAGGCATGATGTAAATGGTGTGATGTCATGAGGAGTAAGCAATCTAGAAGTCTAGAGGCACGTCAATCTTGATTACACATGGCAATATCATAAGAAAGGTGATTTAATCAACTGACACATGTTGGTGTAAAGGTATATGTGATTAACCAAGGTAAATGGTAAGTGTATTATTTTAAATACCCCTCCTTTACCATTTGGCCAAAGTTTTTGGCCAAGCCACCAAGAGAGAGGGAGAGGCCGAAACTTGAAGGAGGAAAGGAGGAAGAAGATGAACATGAGGTTCCATGCAAGATTAAGCTTTAGGATAAGTTATGGTTATGGTTTTTGATGTAGTTTATCTTGCTACTTGTCTTGTTGAGTTTGATTATGATTTTGATGGTTTTTGGAAGCTTGGAACCCTAGAGGTATGAGCTACACAAACTTTATAAGTTAAGGGGAAGATGAAATTGATGTTAGCATAATGTTTAAAGGCTTGAAAGGAATAAGAATTAAATGGTTTTATATTGAAATTGATTGAATTCCATGATTATGTAACTTAAGGGAATTGTTTGGCCGAGGCTGGTTCTTAGTGTTAGGATTGGATTTTGATAATTTTGATTCTTCCAATAAGTTTAGAATGAAAAATTGTGTAAGATACAAGTGAGGAAACAAGTTTGAAAGCATTAGAATTGAAAATGAAAATTTTGAACCCTAAAGGGTAACCTCTTAGCCAAATGGAATTTGTCACACCTTAATTTTAGACCATATTATATCTAAATTAGATCCATTTGGAACCATTTCTTATGGCCTTAGATAGGAAAAATTTAAAATTTAAAATTTATTAAATTTGGGTTATTATTCATGTAACCCTAATTAAGGTCAAAATTTGAAAAATCATAACTAATTTTAGAAAAATAAAAATGAGGTGGTTCCAAGTTTTATTTAAATCTCTTAATATGATCTTCAGAGAAACAATACTCACTGGTATCCAACCTTTACCAATCAACCCCAAAATTAATGCAAAGTGGTACTATTCATATAGTAAATTTTTAATTTTTCAGTATTTATGCCTAATTTTGGATAGGCATAACTTTTGTACAAAACTCCAAATTTGATGGAATAAAAAATTTTTTTAAAAGCTAAAAGTATTATCTATAAGTTTGCCAACTTTCAGCTAGAATCTCAAACATTTGAGCAGAATTTCATTGGTGTGAAAATAAGGCATTATTAGGGTTATTTTATCCATTTTTCATGCATTTTTTTGACTTTCCTCCCTTTTTAATCTCATGGGACTATTGCAATCCCATATCACATGCTTAAACATGATTTGTTGATCAAATATCCACATACATAACATCTCAAGTCACCTATACATAATCCAAAATAATTCACATAAATTACAAAATATTCTTCAAAAGGCATATAAATTCAATTCTCTTCCAAGATAATCTCCTTGCCTTTCTCCTTACTTGGTCTAACCCCTATTTGGTGAATATTTAAACATAAAGGAATGAGATTTTATAGAAAATCTCAATAGCAATGAATCACAATTATCATGCTATGCAAAAATGTGACATGTTACCATAAAACTAGAATGATCATACACAAGCTTTCATATACTTTTATTGCCATAGAAAGAGAGCCACATATCAAGCCATTAAGCCATTCCACATTACATATTGCCAAGGTATATTTGACATAAAAATTTACACATAATCACACAGCTTGCTCAATCACATCATGGCAATATAAAACAAGTAACACATACACATTTAAACAAGCAAGAAAGCAATCAAATTATGAGTTTAATGCTATCTCTTGCTTAGGTATGCAATTCGGTCTCTTTATGTATTTGGTGCTCATCTTTATTTTCTTATACAATGCCTATCAATCCAAGTATAAACATATTCTATATTACCAATAATTCAAGGCATAAACACTATTGCTCAATAACATACTCATATAGGGTCCGTTTAGATCAGCGATTGGAAAAATAACTTATTAAAAAATAGCTTATAGAGAAGTGAAGTTGGGTAAAAGCTAAATTGGATAAGCTGAATTGTGTTTGGATTGAAATTCAGAAAAGCTAGTTTGCAAAAGTGAGATTGGTAAAAAATTGTTTGGATTACGGCTGAGTAAAAATAAGTTTGGTTATAAAATGACCAAAATGGATA